TTAGGGCTAGGGTTAAGGTGTGGTCGTGGCCATGAATGGGCACTGTCGCTTCAAGCCGACAAGGTGGTGGTGTCACCTTTAAGCCATGTATGTGGTGTAGGAGTCGCAGGTGCAGGCGGGTGTTGGGCAGTGCTCTGAACAGGCTGTGGAGCCTGTTGGGTCGTCTGCATGTCTTTGGGGCCCTACAAAGGGTGTCTGCGGGCGGATGGCACGTTTGTTTTAAAAAAATTTGAGTGCTCAACTCAGGCTAACTGGAGGTCAATTTATGTAATGCTACATCTACTTACAAGGAATTCAGCCTATTCGTGGGGCAGAATACATCTCACGAGTTCTTGCTATCCGTTGATTAAATGAAGCTTTACCTAAGTAGATTTCAGTCTATCCTCGGGTCTCTGTCATCAAGACTACAGCCATTTATGCTGATTCAAGGCCAATTTGATGTCAATGGATGTAATGCCACGTCGACTATTATTTCAAATTCAGCCTATCCGTAGTGCAGTATACCTAATAATATGTGTAAATCTCAGGATTACCTGCTATCCTGGTATTTAATGGGTACCTTAAATGTCTCGCCTCCTAGGATCTGCTTCAGATCCTGCTGGTTAGCAGCGCAGATCCCAGGCTCCTCCATTAACGCAACCTTCCTATTAAGAAGGTTCTCGTAAGCGAAGGCTGATGCCCCCTGCCTGCGCATGACACTGCCATGCTCAAGGAAGGTCGTTGTCAGCTTACAAATAAGCGATTTGCCCGTATTGGTCGGGCCGTACAACACAAGAGTGTTGATTTTCTCATCTTCGCAATTCATTATAATGCGAAGCGTAATTGCAAAATCGACAAGGGCGATTTCATTGGCTAAAAACATGTCTTCCAGCCATTGAATGGACTCTCTAAACGTTTAGGTTTTCACCACTTCCGCTTCCGGGGGGGTGGGATGCGTGCGTCTCCGTGGTGCGGGCGTGTGCTCTACGCTGATTGGTTCGCAAATCCGGATTGCCTGCGCGACGGCCGGCCGTCGGAACCGCGCGTAGGTTAAACATGTTTGATTAAGTTATTTTATCGAAGAAAAGGTAAGGTCATATTCGTTTCCTTCAGAAGCATAGATGTTGTGGCAGTATTCAGTATACCTTACAAATAGGCTGAAATAGCTCTGATGGACTTTGACATAAGTAAGAACCTCTATTCCAATAGTTTGTTTCCCGAAATCACGTATTTGACCCTTCGTCTTCCAATCATTTTAGGCTGAAGCTTAAGTCACGTGAAGCTTCTTTTTCTGCCTATTTGGATTGATAAAAGTTGATAGTGCTCAGACTAGTTCAACACTATGACTATAATCTATATTTTACTCGTGAGTTGTTTAGCTGTGATATGCAGGTCCCACCTCCCCCAAAGGCTACTCCAGTAAATCAATCTTACATCTTACTATTGTAGCCACAACCAAACCACTCCAGTGATTCTGCTAGAGACTGCAACGTAGGCCGAACTGCCAACCCCATTCATGGCAACAGTCTAAGTTCCATCGTCA